CCCACTGCTAAGTCAACCTGTATGCTAATGTTAGCTGGGCTCTGTTAGCAGCCCTGCTAGAGTTACACAACACGTGAAAACCCAAAATAACTGTGTCCTCGTCGTTTTCGTGTTGGCAGCAGTTTCTCAGACTGAGCTCTGGGGCCAAATCTACAACTACTCAGCTTCCTGTGAACATTAAACCCATCAGACACAAATACAAGATGTTTGTTCTGCTGCAGATACACTGACAAGCTGGAGCGGCTGAAGAAGCTGAAGGAAGAAAAGGAGGAGCTGCAACAGAGGTGAAGCTTACAGCTGTTAATGACTGAAGTATGTTGTGATCTGTTAGCCACTGGATGATGGCTGGGGCTGATGACCTCATTCTAAATGGAGCTTGAACTCCTCCTCTCTCCTCAGAGTCATTGGGGCCATGGACAGGAAGCTGCAGGCTGATGAGATGGTGAGTCCAGCTCTGTTGCTGTAACCAGCTCAGCCGGAGCCGTCAGTCCAGGTCCACATTAGAACATGCTCTGTTGCTATGGTTACACCTGGTGTGGCACCTTCATCTGTTTCCACCATAGCCTGTAAAACTGAAGCTGATTCATCTGGATCGCCCCCTGGTGTCTCGCTGCAGTATAGTTGGTAAACCTCCATGTTAGCAGATGGGACATGAACCAAACTAAAAATCAAAGTAGACTTAAACAACAGCTCGTTCTCATCTCTCTGATGTTTGTTCAAGTGTTTCTGATCAGTTTGGTTTAAAGTCTTTATTTGATGATTTAAAACATTCTGAGACATCTTGATTGACAGCTGAGACAAACTCCTGATTGGTCAAGAGCATATATGGGCAGAACCTCAATATCAAACCTCCACTCCACAATCACTTCTGCTCAGACTGAGTGTAAATTACATCATCACCACAAGATGGCAGTGTTTGTATCAGAGATATTTTAGCTTCATTTCTGGAGGAAGTGGAAAATAGTCGACTTCTATGATCATCACAAATACTAAAGAATCACCAAACATCAACTACATGAATGTAGACAGAAAGAGTTGAAGATAATCAGAGAGATAATCAGGGGAAGCCTACTGGGTGATATGGACGTAGACATTTTGACAATTCAACATACTTCAAATAAAAACGGTTGAATGCGACCTTGAGTTTTCCTGTTCAGTACACATGAGGCGGAACAAACTGACAAACTGCTGTTTCCTCAGAAATGGAAGCTGATGTCGTGTAGGATGAAAATTGAGCAGCTGAAGGAGGCAGTGGCCTGGGGCAACGAGGAGGTGAAGAGCGGTGAGTCTGTCTGAACCCCTCTCTTGTTGTGGTCCTGTGGGGCTCTCTGTCTCATCCTTCAGTGTCCTCCTCCTCCAGATAAAGACCTACACCTGCGCTCCCAGGAGGAGAGCCAGCGGCTGCAGCGGCGGGCCGGACGTCATCAGGAGAAACGGGACAAAATCGAGCGTCACAACCGTCGTCTGGGGGAGCTGCTGGAGAGACGCAGCCGAGAGCTGCAGAGCCGACTGAGTCAGCTGGCTGCGCTGAGACGAGAGCACATCCTGGAGCTCACCACGCACATCTTCCCCACGCAGGAGGAGAAGCAGGGCAGCAGGTGAGACGCAACGCACCTGAACCTCTGACAGCGACGCACCTGAACGATACATCATCTGCACAGTAGAAAACATTGCCCTCGGTCCCTGTGTTTGTCTATCAGAGACCCCGCAGATGTGGTGACAGAGTGCGACCTGGCTTTGACCTCTAGCACCGTGAGTGAGCTGGCCGAGGCTCGGAGGACCACCTACCTGTCCGGACGCTGGATCTGGGACGACCAGAACGGAGAGACCAGCATCAGCATCACTGGAGCCCCCGTCACCCTGCCCAGCAATGGAGACTGCTCGGCCTACTACAGCTGGGTGGAGGAGAAGAGCATCAGTCAGGGCCCAGGTGTGTCCCTCAATTGTGTCCCTCAGTTGTGTCCCTCAGGTGTGTCCCTCAG